CCCGCCTTGTCTCCCTGCGGCGCGTGTTACGTGGGTTTTTTTTTTTTTTTGGGGGGGGTTCTGCTTTGTAATAAAGCTCCAGCTCAGCTGCAGGAATGTGAAAAATGTAAAAAGCCGGGCGGCAGGCTTGGTGGAAGTGGAGTCTGCTGTGAGCGTGTCAGAGGGAGGGCTGTGCTTCCCCGACAGCTCCTTCCAAACGTAACCTTCTGGTTGCTTCCAAGAAAGATCGTGTTTGGAGGAAATTGGTGGTGGGAGGGAATCATCCCCACGTTTATGAAGCTGCGAGGGCAGGCTTGGTGCATCACCAGGCCAGGGAGTTAAATAGTGGGTGGAAAAAATGCCGTGAGCCTGCAAGTTCAGGCGGAAGAATCTACTGGTCGGTCTGAGAGAGAGTCGCTTGGTGAGCGCGTGTGCTGGGGAGAACGTTGCTCTAAATGAAGGGATCCATCCTGTTCCCTTAGCTCCAGGCTGGGGATGCCGCCGTTACCGCCGTTAGGGTCTCCTGGCTCGCTCTGTCACTTGTCACTAGTCGAAGCTCCTGTTGCCAGCTCTGAAGGGCCGTGGTGGCTGTGAAGTCTGTGATCGCTGGTGGACGTGACGGGTGGGGTTCCGGCGCTGCAGGGCAAAGCTGATCCTGCTTTTGGTTTTCTCCCAGGAATGTCGCGGGCCAGTGGAACCAGGTCTTTGTGCAGCCGCTGCCTGACGAGGAAGTGACGGTTCGACACGATCAGGACCCCAGGGTGAGCCGACTCTAGGGCAGCGACAAGAAGTAATGAAGCTTCTGTGCCCAGGGGAACGTGAAGACACTTCAAGTGTACAAATTATGTTGATACACCCTTAAATTTACTCAGAATTAAGGGGGAGAAGCCTTAGCCTCTCTTGCTGCAGCAGTAAAGCGCTAAGCATGGTTATGAAACCAGAAGCTGAGGGATGAGGAGAATCCTGAGACAAGACACGTGAATAACCAAGATCTGGAGCGTGCAGGGAGCAGCGTTCGATCACGGGAACTGCAGAGGGGTTAGAGGGTGGAGCAAGGTGTGGGTGTGAACTAAAGCGGGGGAGAAATGCCGATCCAGGAGCTGAGTTTGGGAATGGGAAGCGGGACCAGCCGCGGCGCCTGAAATGCTCTCTTGGCACGTGTGTTTTCCTTCAATCGTGATCTCTGGCGCTTTGCAGGAAACCTACCTGGAGTATCTCTTCATGCCTGGCCGGTTCTCGAACGCAGCGATCCAGAAGGCCCTGCAGGTTAGCGAGAGGGCGTCTGGGGCGCGCTCTGCTCCGCTCCGCTCCTCCTTCCCGGCCCTTGGGCTGTGAGGCACCGGGATGCCTTGGCAGGCACCGGTTTGCGTTTGGTAGCCCCGTCGGTAGCCACCGGAGCGAGTTCAGAGGCTGCTGCGCCGCACTTCAGCCGGCGCGCGCTGGCCGCGGGAGGCAGAACGGGGTTGCCAGAGGAGCGAACATTTGGTTTTCCCCGTAGGCAGCACAGCGGGTTGCTGAGCTCGCTTTTCCTTGCCTGCTGCCTTAGCCGGGTGAACGGCGACACCGCTGTCGTGCAGTTTCTCAGGACATACCTGCTCAGCTCTGGCTCCTCAGGGGGCCGTTAGGGGCAGAGCAAGGCGACACCCGCTGCCTTTGCAGGAAAAATGGAACGGCCGAACTTTTGGCTACTCTGAGCGTTTCGATTCTGTGTGCCGTGACCTTATGGGGGCCTGTAGCGGGGTACAAGCGAGAGCCGCTGCGAGGGCGTGCAGCACTTCTGCCCTTGCATCCCAGTGCGCCGCCTGCCAGGGGGCTCCCTCCGTTGCCCCAGGAAGAGGGAAGCGGGCTGTGCATCCCCTTCCCCCCACGTTTAGCACCTTGCCCTGGTTTTTTTAATACTTTTGTCCCGCAAAGCGCCGGATGGTGCTGTCCCATTTGCTTTGTGTCCCTCTTGAACCTCAGGGGGACAGCTCTCTGGCTTTACAGTAAAAGTTTGCTGTGCTGCTTTTCAGATCTTTTCTCAAGGAACCGAGAGACACCTGGATCTGACGTGGGATGAGTTAAAAAAAGAGGTGACCTTAGCTGTGGAAAGCGAGGTGAGACTTTCCCCCCCCCCCGCCCCGTGTGTTTTGTTGTTATATTTGTTGTACATTTGCAGTGGTTCAGCGAAGTTAAAGTGAGACAGAGCGTGACCCCAGGCCTTGTTTTGTCCTTTGTCTCTCCAAAGGAGTTATGTGACTTTTGGAAAAAGTACAAATCTTGGTCCTTCCTGCCTGGCTTTTCCGTTCCCCCTTCTTTTTTTGGAGCCCTTTCGTGGTGTTCTGCGCTCTCTGCTCCCTGGGGGCACGTCCTGTGCTGCCCCTTCTCTGCTCCCTGGGCGTGGGTGCTGGCCACCACCACGCAGAGCTGTTGCTCGTGGTTTTGGACACCAGAAGATAATCTGCTTAGGGGACCTCACTGAAAGATAACTGGCTGTCCTTCTGGCTCTGAATTTCCCCTGTTTTATCCTGCCTGCCCAGATTTCACTCTGACGTGCCCCATTCTCCAAGCCAGCGGTCCTTCCACCTGCGCCTCATCCTTGAGGCTGCCCGCACTATTGCTGGAAAGTTCACCGGAAAAAAAACCACAAAAAAAAGGCCGTTTTGTGTCGCTGTGCATGATGTTTTTAAACAGATCTGCGGTGCTGTCCTTGTTCTTAATGTCGCTGGTGCTGCTTTATCTAAGGCTGTATAGAAATGGTTCTGGTGGGCTTCGTTCCCCTCGCTGTTTGCTGTGTGATTCGCTGCTGTAGGAGGGGGAAAAAAAAAACCCCTTGCGTTTTCACAGGGAGGAGAAGGGAGCTGTGACGGGTGGTTGCGACCCTTAACGGTGGCGCTGGGCCTGAGAGAGAAGCCAGCGGCGTGACCGCGGCAGCTTTTCTCTCTGCTGCGCTGCCCGGATTCGTCCGAAGTCTCGTTTCGGTCCCCGCTAGTTCCAGGGCAGCGTGACGGAGTACGAGTGCTCGCCGGAGGAGTTTTGGCAGCTGCAGGTGGAGTTCTGGTCCAAGTTCTACGCCTGCTGCCTTCAGTACCAAGAAGCGCTCTCGCGGCCCCTGGCCCTGCACTTGAACCCCTACGCCAGCATGGTGTGCCTGCTGAAGAAGGTGAGGGGGCTCTTCGGCCGCTGCGGCCGGCTGAAGCGCTGGCCTCCAGGGAGGGGTTTGGGCTGGGGAGCTCAAAGAAGGGCTTTCTCCTCACCTTCCTAGGGCTCCCTGTCCTTCCTTGTGCCCTGCTCCTTGGTGGACCATCTCTATCTCCTCTCTAACGAGCACCTCCTGACTGAGGACGACGCTGCCATCTTTGATGGTAAGTGAGGAGGCACGGAGGGCTCTCGTTGTTGGGAGGCTGAAGCGCTGTGTGTGAGGGAAGCCTTAGTTAGAGGGATGTGGGAGTTTCCATAGAGGCCTCTCAAAGTGCTCCTGACTCCGCAGCCAGCTACGTGGAGATGGTTCTCCTCTCTTGGCATCTGGAGGGAGTTCTGCTTTGTGAAACCTGCCGTCGTGCTCGCACCAGGATTGAGAAAACGGTGTCAAGGCTGCAAATCTGCCGTGACTCACTTCTTCAGATAACTTAAAAAGGAAGAATCTTAGATGTCAGGCTGCATGTTGCTCGGTGACAAGGGCCCGCCTTGGTGGATCCCTTGCCCATGTGGCCTTACAAACGCCCTGTGGAGGCTGCGGTTAACTGGTGCCCTCTTCACGCCCGCTCTGTGGGACAGGTCTGCCAGGTTGGAGCTCCGTAGCGTGCTGGCAGCTCCCTGGTGCCGGGGGAGGGGGGGGGAGAGCGGGATGCAGCAGCTCGTGGTTCTGATCGCGTGGGGGACCCCCCCCATGTGAACCCCGCTGAGCGTTGTCTCATCCCCGCCGAGAGCCACCAGACCCGCTCTGACTCGGTGCACGCGGTTCTCTGTCCTAAAATTCCCCAATCTCTGTGTCTTGCTGATGGATTAAGCTCCTTTCAGAGATTACAGATGAAAAGGCAACTTGTCATCTTCCAGGCGCCCTGGGCTCCGCTGCCCGGTGCTGCAAACTCAGTTTTTAGTGAAATGGCTTTGAATAACTGTTTTCACGTGAGCTGTGGAGGGGGCCTGTGCCGTTTGTCTCCAGGAAGTAAATGCCAGTGTGCGCGAAAGTTGTCCTTGATATTGTCACCACGGTGCCCTCTGTGCTTTGCTGGCCGTGGAATGACGTTTCACAAGAAAAAGGCAGTGGAAAATGTTACTTAAGCTCCACTGCCATGCTCAAGTGATTTTATTTTTTTTAATTTTTTTTTTTTTTTGTATTTTTATAAAGAAGAATCGTCATCCATTTGGTGGAGCTATTTCTGGCTCTGAGGGAAGGAAAGCTGGAGGCCTGGGCTGGGTTTCTGAGGCTGGCAGTTCCTGCCCTGTCTGCTTCAAACTTCTCCAAAAAAAAAAAAAAAA